AACAATAAGAAGAGATGTCTTTCTTATCGTCTATTCCGTCCTAACATCTGCAAATTATGCATATGCAATTTGGTTTGAATAAACCAATGCATATTCCGCATATTAGTGGTATTAAGTTTTAAGTTCGTGTTATAACTATCGGTAAAGTGTTACGTTTTGTTTCGTATAACCTTACAATTAAACTTAAGTTTGCAGCAGTTGTGGACAATATAAGAACTAATATTAATCGCTCTTGTTGGCCCATCCTCGATATCCAGGGGTTATACTCACTTTCGCTCACTACACCCCTGGAATCATCCTCGATATCCAGGCGTTATACTCATTTTCGCTCTCTACACCCCTGGAATATGTCATAGCAAAATTGAAGGCTCCTTGTGCGCCACCTTGTTGATGGGACAAGAAGACTAGTTCGATCATTTGATGACCTTCAAATGACAGGTATCAGCCTAGCGATTTGTCAGTTTTGTTTACCTGAGACCAATCAAACAGATATCTTCATGCCTTCAATTTTGCTGTAACATATTCCAGGGGTGCAGAGAGCGAAAGTGAGCGTAACCCCTGGATATAGAGGATGTCCTGGAATATGTCATAGCAAAAGTGTAGGTTCGGTGTGCGCCACCTTGTTGAAGAGACGAGAAGACTAGTTCGATCCTTTGATGAACATCAAAAAAATCTCGGGGTGATACGTCATTGCCTACAACCTATAATTTTAGTAATAGAACGGACTTCGTATTATGCGCTCAAATATGTAGTTTATTTTTCAGCACATACTTTACTTTTTTATAAATCAAAAGAAAACCGTCTTTATTAACACTTGATTATCATGTGGTTCTTTTGTGTGGCTCACTGTTAAAACAAAATATGTAAATTTATAACGTCGTAGAGTCATCGTTTCTGTTTCCTGAGTTCTACTTTATACTCAAGCAATGTACGTATTCAACGTGTCTCAACGTTTTAAGACCGACTGGTCCCTTTTTGTATTGATTACCTGACGTGTACAAAGATGTGACGAAATTGAATATTTCTTATGTCACTCGACCAGGGACGTTTACACACTGAATCGAATAGGTAACTATGTAGCTCAAAACAGGAACAGAGACGAGAGGGGACACCAGCTGAGTGATCTGTATGACCCGATACTGACATAACGGGAGAGGAGGCTACATCTACACCGTACCAGTAATCTATTCTGTACGGTGTGTATACGCTATCTATCTCTTATGATAAATAACACATATTCTAAATTTATCGTACACTTTTATACCTTAAAATAAAACAATTGTTGTTATGTCGCAACGTTATGACCCGAGGCCGATGTGTTGTGCTGTTACTATCTCATCTAACGGTTAGGAGTTGTACAGTTTATTACCTATTTTGTACATTAATACATACGAATAATGATATATATATCGGTCTCATAAGTAATAACGACAGTATGATCCAATATTGGCACTGGACACGAATAAACAAATTTCGTTGGATGTGTATTACTTAAATAGATATATGGAAAAAGAAGTGATAACTTCTGCACCGTCGTTATCACTTCATTAAGACGAATAGTGATATATATATATATATATATATATATATTTACTTTAACCAGAATGTGTATTATACATGGAATTCCTCAAAGTTGGTTTTTCCAATGTTACTCCTAGCTTTTGTTTATATGTCACCGTGTCTATGATTTTACCCTGTGTTGGGTAGTGTCGATCTCTCTATAACTATCAAGTAGCCATGGCGCTATCTTATAAACAGGCTCTTAAATATTGACAAAGATGAGTCATTCTTCTAGAAAAAAATTGTATTCCTATTTGTGTTTATTGTATACTGCTAGCAGAGTATGTGACGTCAGTATGGGATGTGATATAGTTTTGTTTATTTAAACAATTAAAAAGAAGGACAATGTCATACAAAAACGTTATCTAAGACGCTGAGCGTGCATATCTTGTTGGAACACCGCAGAAACATACATATTCTGCCTGCTTTGTCTACTCATAACATGATATCTATATAATGTACCTTACTACGTTAGTTCCTTAGGGTAAGATACATCACTGACTTTCCATATAATCTTTGACTACTGTTTTAATGAATAATAACAAAAAAAATCTAATAGCATATGCATGTATTCATCTTTGGTGAATGACCTTTTCGCACTACGGTTGTATAATAAGTTTGAAATATATCCCCGTTTTAAGACACCATGTGTGAGACTGTACGATACGACTACCTGGACCGGACTTTGTACAGGCAAGACATGCGTACGTAGCGCTTGGGCGATTTGTATGGTCAGTGTAAGATATTGAGACAGATAAATACAAACGTGGTGGACTGGTCAATATATATTGTATGTACATGTCTTCCTGGACATTGCCTCATCAATCTACATACTGATAGGCTCTCCTAGCCTTAGTACAAAAAGAGGTTCACCTTGGACAGGCTCGTAATAAAACATATTGTGATTTAATGTTGATTGAAACTAACATCCTACTGGGCTCATTATGATGAAAAATTTAACAATTGGTATACAAATAAAATATTGGTGGTTTATTTTTTCGGACAGATCTACAAAACTGACATATGAACAGCCTGCAAAATAAATTGCCTTTAAACTGACATATAAACTGTGTAGATATTTGGTAGATATCGTTAGTATCTGACATGTAAACTGTGTAGATATTTGGTAGATACCTTTGGTATTAAGTATTACACTGACATGTAAACTGTGAAGATATTTGGTGGATATCTTTGGTATTTAGTATTACACTGACATATAAACTGTGAAGATATTTGGTATATATCTTTGGTATTTAGTGTATAACAGTGACATATAAATTGTGAAGATGTTTGGTAGATACCTTTGGTATTTAGTATTACACTGACATATAAACTGTGAAGATAGTGGGCCAAATGGGTCAAATGAGCTTCAGATATTCCTATTCTTCTGTTGAGAGGGGTAACATTTCTACCGTTTGGCAGGGGAAAACACTTTTTGTTATGTTTTGGTTGTTTTCGGTAGAGAATCATTCAATCGAATTCATTGAATAAGAACCAATTAATGACAGTGTAATAGTAATACAATATGAGACCATGGCTGCAACCTTTTGGCTTGGGGAAAGGAGACCAAAGGGATGACATTGTCTTTATTTCAACAATCTTCTTCTCCCAATCCAGATATCCTAGTAACAAAAAGTCTTTATGAATGGAAAGGTTCTCCTAAGTTGTTTTTTTTATGATCGTCTTTTTCATTAACCGGGGACAAATTAAATATTGCCCTCATGAAGGGACACATTTAAACATAGCTTAAATAAATGTATCTAATAATTTTGGTCTTTCATAGGTGCAATCACGGCAGGCATGGGGTAATGGTAATGTGTAATGGTAATTAATTGCAATTAATTACATTTTGTTAAGTAATTGGATGTAATGTGTAATTGAGGATTTTTTCAATTACATGTAATGGTAATTTAATTAATTACATTGAAAAATGTATGTAATGCCCAATTACTTTTAATTACTTTTAATTATTTTAATGTTGAGTGTTGATGTTTCATGCATCCTTTATACAATTTAATCAAACAGAAAGTTTCCAAAGTAAATATTTATTATATAAGGACACAGGTAATAAGAGGTTATACCAGTATTGATCCTAATCTCCTATTCCTAGCTTAGCGTGTATCATAACAGGGTAGGCCATTCAGAACATTCTATCTTTGTAAGGGTGAACTTATAGTGAATAGTGTTAACACTGAATTACACCTTCACTTGAAAACTTTAACAACCACATTTGAGCCATTTTTAAATTCCCAAACACACAACAGGGTATTTTAAGGCAAGATGGATTTCTTCAGGTTTCTGCGAGCAACCCCAAGGAAAAGACACCAATCTGGGTTGGCACCAAAGGAAGCAGAGAAATTTCTCGAAAACCTTTGTATTGACATGGAGGATGACCCTTTGTCATTTTGGCAAGCAAACTCTGTCCAATACCCTGTTCTGTCAAAACTGGCTATCCCACCATCTCCAGCTTCAGTCGAGAGACTATTCAGTTTAGCCGGGAAGAAGGATTCCGCCCAGACAGATGCCGTCTAAATGACGAAACGTTTGAACATCTGATGATGATAAAATGCAATATGCATGTTTACCTATGTAGTGTAAGCTGTCTGAGCAGAACATCTTCCCAGAGTTGAGTACATGTACATACCATGCGAGTGTATACACACATTTTGTATATATGTAGTGATGTGAATTCCCTGTATGAAACACAAACAACAAGTTCATAACAGATAAAGGTAAATATGTCATTTAAACTTGTATTTTTATTGGCTTGGATTAAAAATAATATACCGAGAATATTAAATAAAAGTTATGTGCAATGGTAGTTAATTATATTGGCAATTTAATTGTAATGGTAATTAATTACATTGGCAATGCAATTGTAATGGTAATTAATTACATTAAGAAAACAAACCCTGTAATGGTAATGGTAAGGGTAATGCTACTTTTCCAATGTAATGTGTAATTTAATTAATTACATTACCAATGTAATTGCCCCATGCCTGAATCATGCGTGTTTGTTTCCAGTGGAAAAAATATTCAAAAGTTGTGGAATTATAGTCATGTGATGACAGATAGACCATGACCAAATGAGGTGAAATAGGTTGAACATTCTTTTTTTCCCAGGAACGAAAAGCCTCAATGGCATGTCGTCATTTCGTAATAGTTACCTTGTGCAACTGATACACTGGAAGTTGGTATACAGTCTTCTCATAGTTACCACATATGTATATGGTATATATAAATGGTCACTACACAACATTCTTTTGTCGGCGAACCAACAGTTAAAAACCTATATTTGGTTTATATGTTCCTCTTTTCTTTGTCACATCACAACTAAAAATAACAATTGTTTTACATCTCAGGTGACCGTTATGGCTCAGAAGTCTCTGTGTAATCCTTTCCTGTGCTTAAATGTTGGCCTAGTAATGCTGGTTTTTTTTCCAATTCTTTCGGTTTTGTTTTCACTTTTGTATTCTCACTAAATATCTTAACAATTATGATATCCTCAGATAAATCCAAATCCAAACCCTTTCATTGGACAGCAATGCGAAGTGTAATTTTGGACAATTATGGTCATAATATTATAATCGTTACTGTGTTAAACTCCTCAGACATACCAAATTTACCTGATGTTATGTTTGCAGATTGTCTTTGATAACAGAAATGAGCATCTTCGAAAATAACAACAACATATTAAATTTCTTATAAAGCAAGTAATTTATTACGTCTGCGAAATAGTGATGATGTAGTGAAATAAATATAGGTAATAAATAAACAGATGATTCGATCATTACTGGTGTTATCTGTGGGGGTTTGTGGTAGTCTCTGACTGCTTCATTTTCTGTTTCTTTGGCTTATTTAATAGGTGATCAATATGTATATTTCCAGCAATTTGTACGAAGGTCCCGATTTGATATGGAAATGTGATTGACGTGAACTAGATAGTTAACTGTTTCTTTGAACTTGTACATACCATCAGTATAAGACCTAACGTGATGTTAATTATAACGACTATCAATTAAAGATAATTTGATTTTTTATAAATTCATGTTGCTTAGGTCATAGATCAACGCACAATTGTAAGGTGTCTCTATGGTTTTTCTTAAAACAATATTGCGTTCAATATACATTTGATATCATACATAACATAAACAAAATATATTTCTAAAAAATGTGTCATGTATTTCATCTCCATCATGCTAATTCGGGATTTAGAAAATATGTAGTAACAACTGACCGCTTCACTGTTTCCAAGTTAAAACAACGTGCAATTTACATGTTGTCATGATGGCATGACGTCATTGCATTAATAATGCATACATGGATGACATTTGTCTCTGGAAGTTTTGAATTGTAAGCGTACATGTAAGTAACAACATTCGATATAAATATATTAAATGTGCATAACTGCAACAACCGTTATGGTCAAATGAGATTTCTGCATTCCTGGAGAAGCAGGAATGTCTGATATATGAAAGACAATGTCAGAACAAATATGTTCTCTCTCCACCGAAATATAAAGTTGCATATGAGGCACCATTATAGAATATAGTCCACAGTGTAGGTAATTCAGTACATGTGCATGTTATTATTTACTTCAAGTTTTAAACACTTATTGCTGACATGCTGTTTGTCTGACGTAGCTTTAACGGAGTCAGTAGCACACCTAACACCAAAGTCTGTCAGCACGAGCACCAAGTGCGATGTTTATGCGATGGTTTTGGGAGCCGTGTCGAGGTAGAAATTGTATCCAGAGAGGGGTGGACCTTGTACGTGTCAATTATCATATCCGCAAGCGCTTCGAAAACGTCATTCACCGTTTGGGTGTTGTCACTACGTATTTCCATGTATGGTATTCCGATGTGTTCCGCCAGTTTTACGGCCTTTTCCTTCGGCACCTCTCGGTCTTCTGCATCACAATTGTTTCCGACTAGAATAGTTGAGATCATTTCCGGTGATGTACAGTAAGCTTCCAGATCATTATACCTATAAACATTAAAAAGATGCGAATGTATTAAAACGATGGGAAAACAAAAATTGATAAATCACAATAAATCTGAAAATTAAATGTTCTTTTAGTGTCAACAATCGCGTCATATCTTCCACTATTGTTCCAGCTTTGATTATGAAGTTTATGTACAAACAGGTACTAAAAATAATACATTGGTATAGGGATTGTATTATATAGCAATATCAGTTATAACATACAAGTGTATTACAGTTGTTATCTGTCGCGTTCCTACTTATTAAATATGCAGACTTATAAATGGGTGCGAGCGTTTGTCGTTGTTTGTGCCTTTACATATTTCCAACATATCAATGTCTTAACTTGGGATGTAACAGGTAATAAACAGCACAGTTGTAACACACGCAGTATCTACAGTATTGGCGTTCACAGTGCTGTCTGTGTGTCATAATGTCCAGTGTGTATAAATATAAAATCTATTTGCGGGTGTTTACACTTACCTCGTGGCAAATGATAACAATATCACCAATAGAAAATAGCTGAAACTTTTCATTTATAAATACATGTCGAATGAATAAATAAACTAAAAGAAAAACAAAATGTGCGAATATAACATACAGGTAGATTACATGGTCCGTATTTAAGTTGTTGGATGTTGAGTATTGTAAATAACCTCCTATGTCGCTACTTAGTATGTGTTAGGTAGTGCAACTAGTGACGTCAAGTATCGAAGGATTTATTTAAAGTGCTCCCGACATGGAATGTAACGTTATTACATTGTATAATTTTATTATCTATTCTGTCACTAACGCCTTTTTTGACAGAAAATATAAGCTACATCATTGGCCACCCTTATTACTAAAGACGGCTCCTGGTGGTATAAACTAAATTGAGCTGTCTTGACTGATAGTTCCGCAATGTTACCTACCAGGATTGGACGCTGTCGAAGGTGTGTCCTTTTCTGACGTCAAAGAGGATGAGACAGCCGTGCGTTCCTCTGTAGTAGGAGGACGTTAGACTCCGGTACCTTTCTTGACCTGTAATACATGGAAACAACATTGGTAATTTATAATTATAAAGTAATGGGTACATTGATAAGACAATGGCATCAATATATACATATACAATAAAGTAAGAAGCCCTAGAAGGCAGAAACGCCTAGCGGTTATCTCGGATACTTATTATTTTATTATACATATAAACATAAGTCTAGATTTCTCAGTTGTCAATAGTTTAAATTATCATTTAGGAACTACCGATAGTGCATGTCACAATAATTATACATACTCGCTTCTAGCATAGTAAATCATACACTTACGATTATACATACTACAGAAATAGAAATGGCGTGCCTTAACCTCTAGTTACCGTGTTTTTACATTGTTATGTCTGTGTCTTTTGCGGTTTTTTGGGTACATGTTCTGTGTCATTATGTATGTTGCACTTTTCAAGTATGAATTTCAATTGCGATCATCAAAGTCATTCTATACCAAGTTGTCCCAAATACAAGAGTGGAGTTTTAATACAAACTGACCACTTGTGTCACAAACTGACCACTTGTATCACGGACTGTTGTGATTTGCCTCATAGAACAAACAGGACCGTGTGTCGTGTTTAACACCCAAGGTCATTCCATTTTATTATTGTTTACTCTGGCATAAGCTGACCATTTCATAACGTATACGTGTTTACATATCTGTCGTGATTCCATTATGGTTCAAAGTAAGGTGAAGATGGTGAAATGCTTGGTATGAAATACCGTGGATCTTCAATTCGTTTACAAAGAGATTGAAATACTTGATATGAATTACCATATATCTTCAATTCGTTTACAAAGAGATACCCTGTACATTTATCCTATCAGTGACTAGTGTATTTTGTGTTCTTTTTCTGTTAAAGACGTTAATCCCCAATGTCATTAACTCTACCTGTGTTACACACGATTGAACTTACAAGTTCTGGCAACGGTCAAGGTTGTAACTGTTTGGTTATACAAAACGCTGGACATTGGCCAGTAAACGTTTTCTCTATACACGCGCCTGACCACCTACAACAATGAACGACCAGGACACTCATGATCCGACACACAATGTTACTACCTTAGACCGTCAGTGTTATCGTGACTTGTCCAACAAAAGAACACTAAGGGCGTACTGACTGCTTGTCTGTTAAGATCATAAAATGATTTTTTTTAAATACATTTTACTTATATACGATGGCGTCTGGATCGCCTAAATTAATACAATTTATTTATATGTAGTAATTAAGCATTTAGTTAGGCAATTAAGTTTTAAGTCGTAAACCTTAATTATAATTAATTATAAGAAGATTACACACTGTAAAGTGGTAGTTTTGACTATGCATTATCTGCTTAGCACATTGCTTATACATGTACATGTAATGTACATAAATCAGTACTTTAAGGAGAGGGCTTGTACAGGCTTTGTCTGTTGCCCAATTCCTTTTGTATGTAAGACCTATACAATAAATTATTCTTAGATTGAAAAATAAATAGTTATATTAATATGTTTATACACTGTGTGGTTAAGTCATAAAGTATCTGTGTTGCTATACGTGCATCAGAGTATGTAATAATCCTGACGAATTGTTCGTGACAAAGCAGACAGCGAGCATGTACTTGTGTATCTATAAGAAGTTTTATGATATCTTGCTCCAGATTGAGCCAGTTGTATTATGTAATCCTGCTCATATGGTTTTACCATATGTGTGACGTCTGCAAAAGTAGAGTGGCTGTAAATAGTATACCTGCTGCTGAAAGTTATTGTTCCCTTCACAACAATTCATTTCAATAGGAATATTCCCCTCAGGGACAATGAACCTTGAATACATGTTACACGTGGAGAGTACATCACACTTAAAGTTAGCGGGAACATTCCCGAAGACAGGTGATTCTACAATTAAATTGCATTTACATCGTACCACTGGGTAGAGGGGTTGTTTTACCCATTTTCACCATTGATTAAAACTATTTTTGTGTTCATCGGGTTTATCTCATCGTACTAAAATCAAAATATTTCGGAATTTTCTTTTTAACGTTACCAATGTAAATCAAAGCTTATAATTGTGATTGCATGGTCGCCAATTTACTTAATTTGCTGGAGTAAATAATATGCGTTCATTCGCATACTTACGTATCTTCCCACTTAATATGTGTATATAGACCTACAGTTTATGTCTATGTTAATATTTATGAATTATCATTTTATCATGCTACCCATGATAAATTACAACCATATACATTATAACAAATGATTTAAACATTTAGATTTCATGTATAAGATATATGCCTTGTCTCTCAAGTATATAATGTAAAGTCAAGATTACCACGTTTGATTTTATACAAGGTTTACCTGCGGTGTCACAGACAATCATTTTCACCGTCCCACTGGTTCGCTTAACGACCGAATCATACGTTGCTTTCCTTGGCAGTTTTAAATTTGAAGTTTTTTGCATATGATTAGAATGATATTGTTTCACATGTTTTGAATGACACTTTTCTTTGTTGACTATTTCAAAGGTTTCGAACGTTCTGGTTTTTCCAACACCACTTGCTCCGAGAAATATAACTTTCACTTTGAGGTCTACATAGGGTTCCTTCTGAACGCCTAGTTTGTTGTTCAAGTGTGCTGTGTCTTTCGTCAATTTACTTGTCATATATCCCTTGATGCTTGGAGATTGACGTTTATTGTCTTCCGTCCTCCTCCTCTGTCGATATCGGATACCACCAGCTGTGAGTTGTTTCGCTTTAATGTTGCTGCTGCGAGCAATGGTTGCGATGTCTTCAGTGGATAATTCTTGAACGAAGTCGATGTTATGTTGTCGTTGAGATTTAGCACCTTCCGAAGGCTGGTATAACAATACTTTGGATTCATGTGTTTCTTCGATGATATCATTCAGTAGTGAATGTAAAATGAGAGTCATATTCTTACCGAAATTCCATTTGTCCACCTCAAAGTTTAGTGGCGTAAGACAAGGACATAGTAAAGGAAAACTCATCCGTCATTAAGATAAAACCGTTCTCCGGGACGCCGGTTCCATTCACCTGTTACAGAGCATTCCAATGTTGCTGAATAGTCACATGCAGATGACTAGTTCATGGCTACATCTAACAGAACTAGGCACTATACAGTCACACATGTGAAATTGTTGTAAAATGTGATAGAAATAAAAGTGAATTGAATCAACATTTGTATTATACTGTATAAGCTTTATAAAAAGAATAGTTAAACTGTCACATGTGTTTAAACGTCCTCGACATGCGAAAGATAATATATATATGACCCCATGCTACGACACGTGCTTTTGAGTAATATCGGCGATAATAGCGATCGGTGTAGACCAATGAAATGAGTGTGTATAGTTTGATAGGCGGGACAACATTCCAGTGAGAAGTTCACTATCGATAACGCTGCGATATAAGTATAGACGGCCGGGTGGCCTTGAGTCGTGTGTACACATAGTCATAAACAATGGCAGAAACCTTGTAGTGAACACAATGACCTGTGACGCCAAAGTTCACAGAGACGATCACCTGTTCTTATACACAATGCAACAGGTCTGAGGAATTTACATCTCATTCAGGGCCTTTATTCATCCTCTTTAAGATGTTTCAAAATCAAGAGAAATCATAATACTTTGAGATATTTGTGGCGTTATAAGTTTTGTTTGTAAAAATTGAACATTTTTTTTGTGATGTTCTCAACGATTTATTATCCGAATGAAACCCACATGTAACAGACAATCAAATAAAAATTTGCAGACGATATGAACAAACTCTTGGTAATTGTTTTTCTAATCCTGAATAATTATTTTTGAGCTAAGCACCTGCTGTGATATTCCTTTACACGTAATAAACGGGATATAAAAACAAATCGAAGAGACACAAGTTCTCAACTGGTCACTTATATGACTACTTGCAATGTAGGGGTTCCACAACATGATGCAGTTGTTTATTGGTGACTAGTGCAGTGTGAATTAAAACCATGTTAAAATCTCCTCAACCGTTAGGGAGTTTTACTTTTAAAGAGTATACATTGGATTCCGACTCCACTTCAATATCATAAAGTGCGTCAGTAGACCATAAACTTCATTTTCTATAAATTCGTTTTACATTAGGAAGTTTTGTCGTTTTAATTCATATTCGTTAAAAACATAAAATACAGGCAATTGGGTACCTTCATTAAGTGTTCGGTATCTTAAGTGAAGTTATATGTCAAGAGTACAACAGATATTACGAACTTGGAACAATGAATCCTGGTTTAATGTTTAGATGAACAAGTTTCTTTAACATGTTTTACTCAGTTAAGAAGGTTTGTTAACGATGTTAAGCAGTCATTGTTGGCTATGATGCCGCATTGATTCTGCTATACCCTATGATACGCACTCAATGATTGGTTACTTTAGTACAGTGAACTGGCCATCGGACAGTGAGACAATGACAAGTCAGAGTACGTGATCTGTCTGACTAATTTGCTCAAAGCTAGGTCAATATCTCTTAAGTCAGCGTGAGAACGAACATCCGTGGTCATAGTCGTGACATGTCTGTGTGAACACCGACATCGCTTGACCAATATGCAAATAATGTCCAGCAATGAATACGCATACGTTATCATCACTCATGACAAGGCGCCTGAGAAATCTTGATTTAATTAGCATGTTTATCATCGTTTCCATAGGAATTTGTTTGAAAGTATACATCAGTTAATGCTATAGACACGAATATATCTTATACATTTAAAATATCATAAATCTAAGCGACATTTTATGTCGTTGATTTTGATTACAGTAGTAAGCAACCATTGATCAGGGCGAAGGTTGTATTACTGCAGTATTACCGTTTCTTTTGAATCTGGTAAGTTGGACGAATGTCAATTAAAGTCAAAATACTTATATGCATGTTTATTTTTCACAGAAACATATAGCAGTTTTTGGGGCCAGCTAAACTTGTGAATTCAAACTAAAAATTTAAAAACAGATGATATTTTAATTTTCGACACAAACGCATAATACTAGCACGCTGCTCACTTTATCTATTCCAAGGGGAGATAACGAGTACGTACGTGACGTAAGGATCCTAACCACTCCTATCAATCATGTTATCACGTTACGTCATAACTTGACCTCTGACCACTTTCTACCCTTACACAATTATTTATACTGAAAATGCCTTCCCGAAAGTTTTTCCACAAGTAAAGTAGTTGATTCTCGAAAACAATTAGCACAGAAAAATGAAATAAGATACATAATAATTTCATGTGTTAGAACATGACATCATGTTTAAACATGGTTAAACTTGTTAATATCAAAATGTTAATAAAGTAGATAAAACACGTCTTGACATGGCGAAAACATGCATTCAGGAGAAAAATTGATACTCTCTCTCCCCAAAAAACCCATGCCAGTCAATCTTCGACAAGAATTAAAATCAGATATATGTACGTGATACATCAGTTTAATCGATTAAATCTGATATATGTGAGAGTGTAGTGCACTGGGCGACATTAAGCTGGCTTATATACAAAATTCACTAAACGTAGAATATCTCGGAGTCTAAGGTTCGTGCTGGAAGATTAAAAGTAAGATGAACGTAAGAGACAAACGTAAGAGACATACAACCAAATGAAGTGCCAACACATGGCAATCCTCATTACTCATTGTTAGATAGTGAAGTAATCGCTGGGTACGCTAACGCGTATGTTTGTATGTTTTAAAACATCTGCAATGGTACAGGTAATAAATAACTGGGTATAACACTTGTCCCTGGTGCTTGTTATTTGTATTTGTTTTCCTTTTTCCTTTTCAATATATCTTTTTTTTATTTGTTAGTCTGTTTATATAATTGATTGTTTTATTTATTTGATATGTCATCATCAAATAATAAAACATTCAAATATTATAATGTCATGGAATGTCGTGTTTTTTCTATAAAATCTAAATTGAAATGATTAGTTTATGTCACAGGTCAGAATAAGACATAACGGTTAAAAATAGAGGGGATTCCAGATATATTATTAGATTTATCAAAAAATAAATAATGTTTTCAATTAATGACGTTGATGGTAAACCCCTGTGGAAAAAAAACTATTGTTTCTGATAAGATAACTTTACATTCTTGTTTTATGACGTAATGACAACCATGCTATAAAGAGATACACATAGGAACAGTCCACCGGGTGATTCATCTGCGTGTGCGTATTCTGTTTTCTGTTCGCCCACCTACCATGTAATTTTGATACGTGAAACTCACAATTTTTAATAATTGATCCCGCTTGATTTTAGTATTTTAAGTATCCCTGCCAAATTACAGGCAAAACACTACATTTTTGTAGATGATTCAACTGTAGTTTTTTTCTGTTTTTTTACGGATCAACCACCAACACCCAGGTTCCATTTGGTTATAACTATAGCGATAAGATATGAACACTTTTATAAACTCTGTTCCGTAGGTCCATTTAGAGAACGATGACAGCGAAGTGTACATTCTTTTCTATTACACCACATTTTTACATAGCTTTGATCCCTTGATGTGTATCTGTTAAAGACGTTAAATAGCACTCCCTACTTTGTGTCCACGTAATTGAAATGAAGAAAATATCTTTCTTACTTTGCTATTTGTTATGCTTAAAAATATTTCTGGGACATAATATTTCTTGAAATCACAATAATTAATATTTTCGCTTTAAATTAAAGATGTGTGTTGATCATATCTCATTTTTTCGTATTTTTATTTCTTTTCATTTTTGAATTGTGATTAATCTACTATTTTGCTGTACCTGTAGAAAACTTTGAAGGTCATTGACCAAGTCCAAAGTAGCTTAGCCATGTATATATGACATTTTCGTGTGTGTACCAGAGTTGTCCAATTCTGATTCTCTCCGAAAAAGTATCATTTGCGTGTATGTTTGTAAGGGTATCACTCGTAGGGATTTACGAGTCTTTTTCCTGTCACTTTTGTAGATTTACAGAATTTCAAATAAATTTTCTCAAAAACAAAAATATTCTTAATGAAGGAAAAAATAATGTATGTGCTTATTCTTATTATGTGATTTGTTATGTTTATCATTGTTTTTTTGTTATGAGTTTATGATAGTATTTCTACAGTGGAAATCAGAACCAATCTTACAATGTACATGGGATTAAACGAGTTTACACTGGGCTTCTACGGGGATATAGATGATGTTTTTCTGAGTGGCTTTTTGTATGCAATACAAAACCTTTCAGACCTTTATTGGACGATTCCTTTACAGAGGACCAGCCGTATCTATCATGTTACCAAGTCAATTCATTTATTATTATAAATATTATATAACCAACATAAAACTTGAAGGTTTCAATAACAATTGTTGTTCAACTGAATATCATTGATATATTTACATATTCATTCATTTATTTATATTTATCCTTTTAATTATTTATTGAACCAATTTCACAACCTCTTCTCCGCCGCTTTTTGTTTCAAAGATACTATTATTATTTTATATTTAAACTAAATTAACTCTCAAATCTGACTGATAATAAAGTTTAATCTGAAAGGTGGTTCATATTAAATTATCTCTCCAAGAGTGTCGTTAGTTTTGAAAAAGAAAATTTCTTAATATGAAGTCCAAATAGATAGCGTCGCACGGCACGTAAATTGAGAAAACTTATATTTTTGAAATAATTTCTAAACTTAAACTGTCTGTGTGACTATACTCATTTTTACTAACCTCCGTTTACAATATTTGCAAATTTCAATTTACTTCACATGTTCTCCTATGCCATGCACACTTATTGGGTTTTAACGAGACTGTATCATTCAAAGTCACTTCTGTTGGTTTACGGGGGGCCGTACTCATGATAAAAAATATGTAATTCAGCTCACCTTTTATCTATTACTTTTACTTTATATAGTGTTATATATACGATAGTACTGTATTGCTATACAAGGAGTGAGTGTCTTTTTGTTCTGTGTGATATATTTATAAAGAACGTGTATAACATACATAGATATACCTTTTGAAAACAGGAAAGACAATAAAATTGTCCCACAGTAGATTGATTAGATGAATGAAAGCTAGGAATAACGTTGAATTTAACTCCAGATTATAAATCTATCATCTCCGAATGGTCTTGTTAAAGATATGACACATATCTCTAACGAAATGCAAATACACGACAACGAGGAAGAGACCAGGTGTAAATCTAATAATTGAATCAGCAGTAGTGAATATGTAACTATTGTCACCTCACCTGTCAACAACTAGGATGATCACATATCTCAGCATATATGTGAACTAATTTGGAAGTGTTTTAAATAAGTAGCGACATTTCCAAATATTTACTTAAATGTTCAACCGGAAAAACTGCCATACTTTATTTTATACATTTGTTTAAAGAAGATAAACTGAATTTAACGTCTCTCCTTTTTATAGATTTAAACATAAATATTTAGCTTGAAAAGAAATAAAAATTGATTGCTAAGGGGGAAAAAAATCTGAATTGTTTAAATTGTTTATTAAATCGACTGTCTGATTACTTAATGGATAGGACAAATACAGTTCAATGTTGATTTATAAACATAGTTAGTGAATCAATTCAACAATGCGACCACTTTATTGTTCGAATGCCATTTCTTGTCTACCATTCTAAAAATGGAAATATTTTAAACCGTAGAACAAATTGTTTTATCAGCTAAAAAAAGGATACTTGACATTGCTATATTGGACCTAACGTGCGGGAATTCAGCTCACCGTGTACAAGTAGCATTATGCCAATTTCCGAACGGAGTACTCCAGATATAAGTAATGTACACTAGAAAGTATGCGAAAGTCATTGTCTTGTTATTTTAAACAGTTCAAAAACGACATTTATTTAACATTACTCTTCATAATATTATATAAGACGTTTTGTTTACTTATCAACTGTTCTTATATAGGATTTGTATAACTAGTAACAGGTGGGAAGGTACAATTATATCTGGTCGCATGGTCATGTAGCACAGACATCACTTCCTTGTGTGCCCTTACAGACATCATTTCCTTGTGCGTCCTCCTTTGTTCGGACGGACTGTTGTAAACGAGTGGTTGTCCCGGTAAACAAGTGTAAGTGTCAGATGTACCAGCGTCCGCCGGGATCCCCATTCTGTTTCTTGGTTAACGGATATGTAATAAAATGACCCCGACTTATGTTTATTGTATGATGCTAACGATGTGTTACGTAAACACAGATGGTGAACACTACAATTGATCTTACAATAAAGTTAAGATAAGAACTTTATGTGTCATTTGTTAAAACAAAAAGAGATTATACGAAAGATTAATATCCTCATTGGTTTCCCAACCAGACTCCAGGAAGTGATCATGTCAGCCGTACATCATTTCCAATGTCAACTTTTCTTATCAGTGTTAAATTACTTATATATCTAAGGATGAAACCTTTGACTTACGGATTTGCTAGTCGTAAATAACCTCTATTTTTTCAAAATTAAGATAGTCTGTGTCCTATTCAGTCATATTTCTACTGTCGTGTCGACGAGTTACTACTCCAAGGTAGATAGTGAATAATTTTGCATTCGTTCAATACTTTTCAAAAATACATTTTAAGCGGGATTATTATTTTATGTATAATTTGTTTAATAAAAAAGTAAATATCGTGATGTAGAAAAAAAGCAAGACTTTGCTAAAAATGTTTTACTATATAAAGAACGACCGTAAAAACACGTATCGTTATTTAATATTATTTATTATTTCCTTAGCGCAACCATTGTTTATAGAAGGAACTAGTTTCATGTTTCATGCACCTGTATTTCACGACTGGCATACTATAACCCTACTAGGTGCAAACAGCAATGCATTCGTGATATAAACGAGGAGGTGCACATAGGTTGTACCTGGATGAAAACGAAGAGTTTGCACTTCATCACACAGAATCACATTTGATAGGATACGTAATCATCCTACACCGAACAACTTAAAGACGCACTACAGGAATCTATTGGTTTACACCGACGATGACATGTGGAAGTCATTTATACTTAATTTAGTTTAAGATTGAAGGCAGATAAATGTATAACATGATACTTTAAAAGCTTATTTGTGATAACTATCATATGAAATGACTTGAGTATATGAAGATAAATTCCATCACACTATCTGAATGTTGGAGTTCGATGACTGCCATCCCCGTTTCTCTAATTATATTTCTAGTACATTTTGCAATACGTCGATCTGAACACCAACAAGGTATGAGTAAGTAGGACTTTCACGAAATGTATACCTGGAAACCCGCAAAAATGTCGAACCGTACACAATCTGCATTTAAAAATTTAAAAATCAAGATGATATAAATACAATATCGGGGTTATTATATTTTGTAATTTAAGTACATCTGTGCATATGAAACTATTACTTGAGTCCTATCATCATAATGATTATACGGACTGATAAACGCCACCGCTAGACGAAACTTGATTTAGTGGATATATATTAATCAGCGTTAAAGCTGTAATGCCGTAATCATTTTATTGTACATTTCACTCGACAGTGATGATGCAAATATTACTTAATCATATACGGAGCATCATTTCGTAAAAGGTTATCAGCCAAATGAGCAACACAAATTCACACACTGACTTTTATTGAGGGAGTATTTGTATTAAGATGACATTAATTTTGAAGCCTTTATTTCTTTAACTGCTTCGTTTTCATTTTCGAATTATCATTAATGCCATATTCGCCCTGTTCCTTAGTTGTGTCACAGAGGAACTTTGTCTTAATAAAACCATTATAAAGTAGATAGTAGTAGGATGTCTGTGGCATGAAGCAAACTACAATATAATTAAAGTTAATTAAAACAAATGACCTGATCGATGTAATCAATATTGTTTGTGAAATATATTTCTTGTATATGTATGAAAAAGTCGCTATACTGTGATTCATTGTTAATATTTAAAATAGTATACTAACAACATTTTAAAGCACGTGCATCCAAATAAATACATATATGATGAACTTACCTGCCGTATCCCAGATATCTAGTTTGATGACCTTGCTCTCTCTAGATATGAAGCTTGTCGATTTACTAGCGTATCCCGACCTAGGTAGGGAACCTTTGGACGAGACGGAGAACTGACTAGATTTTGACATCTCATACTCGTCCTCCCTATTAACAAACGTGTCCACCAGCAACGTTTTACCGACGCTTAAATCCCCGATCACAACAACTTTACATTTAAGATTTCGTTCAGATACCCGCTTCGTGGCCATGGCAGTAGAGTGAAAACTTTCTCATTTTCATTTGACACCGTGATTTGTTTATCATACACGATAACAATTGAATTCCCGTCACGTGATGACATCGACGCCTAGATCAAATAAGTGATTCACGCCTTCGCGGTAAAGGGTGGTCCGATACATCAATCGGCCGATGGCCGTGTATATGATTAGCACAGGACATTAAATGCTGTAGCCCTAAAATAACAAATTTAATTCCTTGATGTGGTAGAGTAGACTGACACAATCTGATAAGCACAGTACTTAGGGGATTCTCAAACAAGGCCCCATTACTACATCGACTAAAATTATCATGCAAAATGGGAACATGTTTAAGATTCTATTTATCAGATTATTTACAAAATGAATCTGAAACAAAACATTTTATCAATAATTTCACCAGAAAGTCTCTGTCGCGGATTAATGAGATTTTAAGTAGTCTTTTGTTTTTTGTTATTCAGGAAAACCGATCGCAGCCATATGTCATGGTGCATGGATGTTCTGTTCTGCTAAGATTCTGAAGGACAAGAAAATCACGTGCTTTGTTGCAATTAAAGACGATGTAGAGAACGCTGGGTAAGAAAACTTACATCCGTAAAATAATGAGTTAGACACACTGCAAAGAACTGGCAACGCCAACGAGAAGGATGGACAGTTAGTGATGACCTTGATGTAGGTACTGTATAGTGTGACTATTAACCTTGCCCATAGTCTTCATCAGCCAGCATCTATTAAACTCAAGGTTAATAAAATGTCTTCAACGCATATTGGAGCATCGCAAATAGAAAACCCAGGCTAGGAAGTGGATTGGTCGGCAGATCGCACCTGTCCAGAAAATGAACTAGAGCAGGACGCAGAACAATAAATTAACGGTGACATGTACTATACAAGCCGTATGCATGGTGGCTGGAATGCTATTGCGGCGGATGTTAATGGGATTGACCGTGAAGTTGTCACTTTAGTCATAGAGGTTAATAGTGGGATGGAGGCTATTACTACAATGTAGTATCATCAACCTTCATTTCCAGGCAGTGCTGAAATGTGCTCCATGAACATAATAGCTAAATAGCAATGTTTTATATTATAACTGAATGCATGCTTTTACAACTACACTTTCTTCAATAATATACTAAATTATTGTATGGACTTGAAAATTGATTTGCTCGTAGTATAATCCACGTAGAGTCCAAGGTTGATTTACAAACAAATCATAAGTAGATATAAAAACACATCGAGGTCCACCTCCTCTAATCTACAGGTCACACGTTGCTGCAGTATGTACTCTAAGCATTTATAATAAATTCAAATATAATTTTCAGTTGGTCAACGTTTGTCAGCTTGAATAAGAAGAATGTTATGATTTTAAGTTGAATTATATGATGATATTGTTATCGAAATCCAAAAATAATATTGAATATTATATTATATTTATCTATTTATTTATCTTATTCTATTATTTGTGTAGGGTATAGCTTTGTGCGTCTAATGAATGATTTTTACGTTGTAGGGCTTTGTACGAGGATTCGCCTGTGGTGGTGGACGGAAACATGATTACATCACGACTCCCAAAGGATTTACCAGATTTCTGTAAAGCCATCATAAGTCAGCTCAAAAAGCAGCTTTAGCACTTCTGCGAGAACAATTTATGTATCTGGTTACCTATCACTATCCATTAACATCATCAATTATACATCAATTAAGATCCGGAAAACATCCTCGGCCATTGGTGTACATTTCATAAAGCTTATTAATGACCTCAACCAAATGGCTAGTTAAAGGTATATATTTGTGGATAACAAATGCTCGTAAAATGCGAATAAAATATTTGAAAACGCATCCAATGTGCACTGTTCGATTTGATCAGTAATGGCATTATCCCTTTTGAGGCTTTGCACAGTATCTGTGTATTGAGCATTCATATCATGACACAGGTGATATACAAAAAGCGTTCTGTATGAGATAAAGAAGTACAATATATATAAGGGTTATTGACTTCCTGATAGCAGATGGTAAGCTATTCCACAACGTAGCCGAAACCCTCCCAAAACATCTGTTTCCGTAGGTCCCAGTACGAGATTTTGGGACACACAACAAATATTCTGACTCCGACCGCAGTGATCGTGACGGCTGATACCTAACTCCTGTAGGTACTGAGGAGCTGTTCCATTCAGTGCCTTGTATGTGTATACCAGAATTTTGTACTGCGACCTCTATCGTACAGGTAACCAGTGCAACGAATAAAGCGCAGGTGTGATGTGCTCTCTCTTTCGAGTACGAGTAACTAGCCGTGCTGCAGTGTTCTGGACCCTCTGCAGACGACTAGTTAGTTTGTGAGATATACCACAGAGCAGGGCGTTACCATAATCCAACCGAGAGGTAACAAGTGAATGCACCAAAATCTTGCATGCATCTGCAGTTAGAAACTGCCGAATACAGCCGATGTTCCTGATCTGGTATTAACAGGATTTGGCAATCGCGTTCACTTGTTTCTCCATGTTCAGAGAACTGTCAAAGTATACCCCTAGGTTTTTAACAGCTGGAACAGTCTCAATAGTTCTGGCACCGACCTTGAGCTGGAGAGCCATTGTTTGCTGACACTTCGGGGAAAAGACGATTAGTTCCGTCTTTTCCTGATTAAGTTTAAGCATGTTGGGACATGCATGTTCATCCAGATACTGATATCTGTCGGACAAGCTTCCAGACTTTCTGAGACTGTATTCCAACTGTCCTGTGGTTAATTTACCAAAAGTTGACACATTTGTGACGATATGTCTCTTACAAATCAAAAATATGATGATTCACAAAATTTGTCATTAAAATTGTATTTATATATTAACTTTCCAGAAGAAAAACAATAATGTTTCACGAGCAGATGATCGCATTTATATAAACAAGAATGAGCAAAAGAAGCCGTGAGAGGATATCGAGATGGTTTAGATATATGGTGCAAAAATCCAAGCCCAGATTTTTTAAATTTTTTTTTATTATTTTTTTTATTTACCACAATGATAATTACAGTTTTTGTATTATGTAAGTCAAATGTGAAAAGAATGTTTTAAAAAAGCACAAATACGAATGATAAATTTAGTTTACAGACGTCACTTCGTCACAACAACAACAACAAAATGTAGACAATTCGCCCAGCGGTTAAAATTCTGTCCTTTGATATACGAAAATTAAAATCCAAAAATTACGTCAAAGTTTCAAATTCAAAAACTCTAATTATAGACGAGAATGATCTCAAACAACTTAAATGATATTAGCAAGAATGAACAAAAGCTAAGAGAGGATACCGAGATGGGCAGATATATGGGGCAGAAATTGACGGTAAAACAAAAACGGCGTCTATCCAAGCCCAGAAAATAATTGACCACAAATGATTTGACGGTTCTTAAATAACTGCAAAAGCGTGAAATGTAAGTCAAATGTGAAACAAATGTTTAGTAAATACAAAAATACTTAACTAAAAAAGGTATGTTATATTAACTGACTAGAAATTCAGAATAACACCTGGACGAGTGTGCGTTTGTAGACAACTCGCCCAGCGTTTAAAGTTATGTCCTCTGATATACGAAATTAAAGCCAAAAATGACGACAAAGTTCCAATTTTAAAAGCTCTAATTATAGACGAGAATAATCTCGAACTATTCAAATGATAATATGGCAAACTTCAGTGTTGGTAAATAAGTATATTCGTGAAAAACACAAAATTTGTCAGTAGCCTACGGGAGCAAGCCTTATCAGGCGTACCCGAAGTCCCCATATTATAAACTCTATTACATCTCTCTATCCCCCATAGCTATATATTATAGACTCGATTAAAACTCTCTATTCCTCATTCCTACATGTTAGAAACTCTATTGAATCTCTCTATCCATTATTCCTACATACGATAGACTCCCCTTTTCCCTATTCCGTACCTAAGTATATATGATAGACCCCCCCCCCCCCCCCCCCCCCCCCCATCACCAATACCATATTATTTGATTGAATTTTAAATCTCCCTATCCCCAATACTGACATACAACAGACTCTTAGTTGACAGTGATAGTCGATTGATTAACCTGATTATCTGCACCAATAGAAATTAACGTCCTTTTTCATATCACATCATGTAGTCATTGTTACCTGGTAATTGTATCTGCATAAATTGTGTATATATTATATCACTTACTAAATACCATTGACGTCATTACTTTAGTCTACTTCCCCTGTACTGATGACGATATCATTAACAATAAATAACATTGGTTTTATTGTTGCATTTTAAAGATTTACGTGTTTCGTACAGGGGCCCTTTTCGCGTATCCGGTTCTATCGTTTTAATCAGCTAGACATGAATAGAAACGGTACCTCAGGAATATTCGGCACGTGCGTATCGAAGGGTCTTGTCGTGCTGGTTATTACTAGTTTGCATTATCTATTAATAAAACAAGATAATCGATTCACGTATGGGTATTGTAAACTACCTTTCCCTTATTAGTTCACTTGATCATATACACTTTTTAACATTTCTTGGGCCGATACAGAGCTAATGTATTGTAAATATTGGATACGGTATTGTGTTACTGTGTACATGTGTGTGTGCCATTCGGCGGTAAAATCCATTTTCGACTAATATTTAATTAGCCCTTCACATTAAATTACTATGGATATCGTTATGTTGTTAACCAACGTTCACTGTCATGATAAACTCGCCCTCAATACGGAGATAATAAGACGAAAATTAAACTGCTGCGAAAATTTCTCGATAAACAGTATTTTCTACAGATGCAATTAAGCTAACATAGCTGAACTGTGAATTTCTGTCTAACGAACTTAATTCCGGAGGTGACGGTGGATTTTAGATGATTGGTCCTCACCAGAAGGCTTACTTTTATAGACTACCAGATCACAAAGTCATAAATGTTATGCTAAGTGGTAGTTAAACTCGAGAAAGACAGTTAGGAAAAAGAATAGATTGTGTATGGTTTCTGACTAAAGCAGCTATTTTAAAGATAATTGGAAAAACAATACAATGTGAGTGATAGCCCGATAAGAGGAATGCATCAGTCTCGATTGTTGTACACGTCAGAGCTGATGAGCAAACCTCTCCTGTTTTAGTTCTGCAAATACTACGTCATAACAATTTTAGAATAACACTCCTCTATATTAAAGAAATAAAATACAATAATAATATATAATACAGGAGTACGACAATTTGGAACTATCAAACGCATTACACCGAATGAATCTGTTTGCACATGTATACACCGAACAACCTCGTGTCTTCAGAACACCTGCTTTTAAAAGAAAAAAGACAATATGCTATTTCGTTGTTTTTTGGGACTTCTCGTTTTTGTACTTCTCTTTATTGCAGTACATTCTCATTTGTTTCCGGTGTGTTGTTTTATCAATCACTCACCTCTGTAAGTCACCGCTGTTGTACTACAATAACCTCACATTTAATTGACTATGTCACCGCGTAGAACTTTAAAGCCGTTACTTGAGTCTCAATTGTAAGAAAGTACTATAAATATACGTATTTTAATGGTTGGACAGATCAATAAGTGATAATTTATAATTAATGGCAAAAGCAAGGAGCATTAAGTTATCATAAAACCACACTATAAACCGGAGCCGGACGAGATGGTCAACTGATTAGTGTTAATTTTGACTAAAATAGCAGTGTGGGTTCACCAAAGTTCGCTGGAATTTAATCAGGTAATGGCCATCAGCTATAATACATATACAGTAATGGCTGCAGTATAAAGTAAAGTAATAATAATATTTGTGTGTTCACTTTTTGTGTTTTACGTCCTACTACACCCCTGCAGGTGGTGGGTCGAGAGAAGAATACACCTGCGATTACCCACTCCATATATCGTAAGAGGCGACTAATTTGGGGCCACCCTGCAGAATTGGGGATTTGCTTTTGCGCCCTGCACCAATTGCAATAGTTGGGATCTTTGTCTTTCTTTCTACTTATAACTACCTTTCATTTCCTAGCGCCTAGCTTGGCAATACCTCACTTCTGGCTTTAATGTTGAGGGTTCGCCCAGGTGAGGAAGGCAATGGGTTCTGTCCCCAGGCCGGGACATACCAAAGTCCTTAAAAATGCTAGTTGTTACTCCCTACATAACGTTCCGCATTGAGGGTAATGGCAACAACTGGTTCACTGGTGTCAGTATAATGTGATCGGGCGGAATGTAGTGCCGGGAGATAGTCATACACAAACAACACAATACGGATACAAGATAAATGTTACAAAAATACATAAACGCAACACATAGACTTGCATCCAAAAGTACATACACAGTACATAATATATTTACACACTCTCTCTCACTGCCAACTTATAAAAACATTTTAACTCGAAGACATCCTTACAATTGTACATAAGTACCTATCATATCAAAACCGTCATTCGAATTCAAACCCGATAAAACTGGGGTCAATTATGAGCAAATGAAATATACATTGAAAAAGTGAAGGAAAATAAGACCATGAGCCTCGAAGAGCAAACGTATTCTGCTTCTTGGTCAAAGTCAAGTCAAGTTACGTCTTCATATTGAGAACTGGAGAAGCTTAAGTGACAACAAAATACTGAGCATAATAATATCAGTATTTCCTTACGAGATCATGATGACGATAATAAAACTTGTCACTACTTTTCGTCAACCTGTATCTTTGAAACCCGTGTGTCCCATTGCACATTTGATACAATTAATATGTTTAAACTAATGACCTCGGCTGTTGATAGGACGTTAAAACCTATAAACCCAAGCCAACACTATTGCAGTTGCGTATTTTCTTTGACTGGGTGCTAAAACAAGTAACTTTTCACGTCCGATCGAGAAACTGAATCCCGACTCTCCTGGTGAAAGACAAGTGGCTATCCACTGATCATTAGCGACCGTATCACTGTTGACCTCAGTGTTGTGTAATTATACCTTGCCACTGTTAACCGCAACATTTAAAAAGACTCCTCGTCTCAACCCCATGATTTGTTCTCATTTGTCATTTGTAGATAAATTAAGAAGAATACATAGTATTTGAGCATTAGCTTTGGAAATATTTTTCACTGAAAACAACTCAAACAATTTTTGCTCGGTTACCTTTAATTCGGACAATAATATAACAAATATAAACACCGGATTTCCATCATTATAATATTGTCAATAAAATATATAAAGTAAATTTGAGGTAAAATATCAAATATCGCTTACGGCTGGTCAAAATATGTCCACCCAACCTTTTTCATTTGTACGTATTTAAAAATTTAACATCAGATTGATCTACAATACTAAAATCTGACCATGATTCTGTACAAAGGTGCTTATTTCATTGTTTGAGATATAAATAACTTATGAGTACAATTAACAAACAAATTAAGATTCCAATAATGCAAAAAGTATCCACTACTATAGTATTCCGTCTTAGCATATTGCAGAGTTATCTTCTCTTGGGAGCAGGGATTGATTGGTACGTCATGGGGTTGGGTGAGAAAATTACGGCGTTTTCTCAAAAATTGATGATGTTTCTCTCACAAACTAGTGAGGTAACAATCAATACCTGCTCCCAAGAGAAGATAACTCTGCAATACGCAAAGACGGAATATGCACATCAAAACAAAAATTAATTGCAAATCATCTGAAAATACAGTAAAATCTCCACACTTGATCAAACATAGTAAAATCTCCACAACTGATTGCAATCACAACACAACTAAATAGATTAGACTCATGAAGTTTCAAAGTTTCATGTAACCATTTTTTTATCCAATTACAAAGCATTTAGGCTAAGTAGACAAGAAAACAATATTACACGTGCACTTCACTTTTCATCCAACATTTTTGTCCCACAGTTTGAAACCATTACAGTAACAGACCTTTAGAGGCTAAATTAGCAGTATATAAGTTGAAGGTTTCTGACCTCTTTAACCATCAACTTAATGGACAAAATGGTCAATAAATGTTTACTTTGTTTGGCATTCTTCATTGACGAACGAAATGTCTTCCTAGTACTTCAAATCTGGTACTAAACACATTAACAAGGTTTGTAGAAATCCTAAACAGCCAGTAAACCTAGACTAGCCTGATCCAAGTACCTCACTTTAGTGGAGTCTGGCCTGACTCACGCCTAACAAGATCCATCCTATCCCGGAGTTTAGAAACGTTTTTCCAAATTAACACCTTGTAGAGGTTCATTTCCAAATAAACACCCTGGACCTTTTTTTCAATATTTACACCCTGCAGAGAGTTTGCTGACGTTAACACCATGTGGAAGAATTTGTCCCAATTAAAATCCTATCGAAGATTCTTCCCAAGTTAACACCCTGTGTGAGATTTTGTCAACACACTGAAGAGGAGTTTGCCCGAGTTAACACCCTGTAGAGTATCAAATTTATCAAAATGAAAACCCTGTAAAGGAGGCTGTCCAAATTAAAACCCTGTAGTGGATAAAGTTTGTTTAAATTAACACCCTGTAGTGGATAAAATTTGTTTAAATTAACACCCTGTAGTGGATCAAGTTTGTTTAAATTTACACCCTGTAGTGGATCAGGTTTGTTTAAATTAACACCCTGTAGTAGATCATGTTTGTTTAAATTAACACCCTGTAGTGGATCAGGTTTGTTTAAATTTACACCCTGTAGTGTATCAAGTTTGTTTAAATTAACACTCTGTATAGTGGATCAAGTTTGTTTAAATTAACACCCTGTATAGGATCAGGTTTGTTTAAATTTACACCCTGTAGTGTATCAAGTTTGTTTAAATTAACACTCTGTATAGTGGATCAAGTTTGTTTAAATTAACACCCTGTAGTGGGTCAAGTTTGTTTAAATTAAAACCCTGTAGTGGATCAAGTTTGTTTAAATTAACACCCTGTAGTGGATCAAGTTTGTTTAAATTTACACCCTGTAGTGGATCAAGTTTGTTTACATTAACACTCTCTAGTGGATCAGGTTTGTTTAAATTTACACCCTGTAGTGGATCAAGTTTGTTTAAATTAACACTCTGTATAGTGGATCAAGTTTGTTTAAATTAACACCCTGTAGTAGATCAAGTTTGTTTACATTAACACTCTCTAGTGGATCAGGTTTGGTTAAATTTACCCCCTGTAGGGGATCAGGTTTGTTTACATTAACAACCTGTAGTAGATCAAGTTTGTTTACATTAACACTCTCTAGTGGATCAGGTTTGGTTAAATTTACCCCCTGTAGGGGATCAGGTTTGTTTACATTAACAACCTGTAGTAGATCAAGTTTGTTTAAATTTACACCCTGTAGTGGATCAGGTTTGTTTAAATTAACACCCTGTAGCAGATCAAGTTTGTTTAAATTTACACCCTGTAGTGGATCAAGTTTGTTTAAATTTACACCCTGTAGTGGATCAAGATTGTTTAAATTTACCCCCTGTAGTGGATCAGGTTTGTTTAAATTAACACCCTGTAGTAGATCAAGTTTGTTTAAATTTACACCCTGTAGTGGATCAAGATTGTTTAAATTTACACCCTGTAGTGGATCAGGTTTGTTTAAATTAACACCCTGTAGTAGATCAAGTTTGTTTATATTAACACCCTGTAGTGGAGTTTGTCCAGATTTTTACCCTGTGCACAAGTTTGTTCATATTTGCACACATGGAGTTCTATGCTTGACTATGTCGCCAGTAAGGTGTCTAACACCTAACAAGCTCATTCGATTCCTGGCCCCCTCTATAATGGTTTGGTTCTGGGCAGCCAATGTCTTCCATAATGATGAAAAGAACAAAAATATTATGGCAAATGTACTTATACACAAAATAAAGTGTAAATTACTAAATCAAAAACAAAACTGGTCACATCTAAAAATATGGAGTGAAACATGTATCAAGAGACAAACACAGAAAATTACAAAATGTGGTCCTTAAATACAGGTGGTCCTTAAATACAGGTTCAGTTCACAATGAAATCACTATAATGGGGTGGTCCCATGAGAGGTTTATCTGTATTGCTTTGCATTTCAAAACTGTTAAAATGGTCAATTAGGGACTGATAATTTTGTTAAAAGGTCATGTCATTCAGAAACCCTTTCTCTGAAACCCGCTATAGATTGTATGTCTTTTTCTAAACAATATTTCACAATGTTAATTCAGTGTGTTTTTAATTGTGATCTCATAATGTCTTTATTTGCTTATTTTTGGCTCATATGCCATAATTCAGTGACAATTAAGTCAGAAAAATCAAAGTTTCAATAGATAAATAGATGGAAACATCTTAAAAAGTGAATGAAATATAAAAATCATAAAAATAGTAGAATTTGTGCTAACCTATTAAAATTTTATTGCTATATTTTATTCACATATTCACACAACTGATGTTATACATCTTTCAGTCCAAACTTTTGTTGGAGCTTGTCAATGGTGACAGCACTGCCTCCACACACTATAACGAGGACAGAGTTCACAGTGCCTAGTTTACCCTCCCTCTGTAAACGGGGGATGACTTCACTGTACACAGCTGCCAGACTGGCACCACACGCGGGCTCCACTAACATCCTGTGGTCCTCTGAAATCACAGGTAGTTAACACTCATCACGAGATATATATTTCTTCTCTTCCTGATAAATCACTCATGGGAGGCAATTACTTGCCATAATGATAAACTTTGATGACATAGATAATACAAATGTATTTTGTAAGTGTCAAAGTATCTGATACCAGCATTCAAAGGTTGTTAATTTTTACAAAGACTGACTGAAATGTTTTAATTTAATTTTCTGTAATTAAGAGATCTTTTAAACTCACCGGAGAATCTGATGCAAGCATCAACAGCTTGCTGGTCAGTCACCAAAGCAGGAAGGATTTTATGTTTCGTGGATTTTTCAAGAGATGCAGCACATGCTGTCAGGGATCCTAGACTTTTAGCAACACTGAGGAAATGTGAAAGTCAGTGTTCAATTACATGGAAATCTGTACACAAAAATTAATTTCTAAATGTATTACTTAACTTATTGAGTCTACAAGTGAGTGAAATATACCGTCCATTTTACCCATGCCAGTAGAATCCCTATTCACCTGGTTTTAATTTGTCCTTCACATCTAATTACTATGTATATAATGTTGCTTATTAAGGTTCACTCTAATGATTAATTCAGCCTTGAAAAAGGCGAACATTTCTCGGTACACACTACACAATTCAGTCTATGTCATCCCAAAGTCAAAGTTGTCATTTATGTGACTAATGTTCCATTTCTTGTAAGTTTCAAAACAAAAGGGAATTAGTTTCTACATTCTCATCAGTGATCAATCTACCTTTAGAAGCTTATAGATTATTACAGGCAATACATACATTTCATCTGTAGAATACAAAATATGTCAAAATATATTCAATATGAATCATGATCGTCTTTATTTTTAATTGTTTTTTATTTTCTGAAAAACTTCAATAACTACATGCTCCTGCATCTTTTTTCAGTCCAAGTACTTACTTCCTGTATAACACACATATTGTGACTATATTTTACATAACTTCTACAAATTTACATTTGACCTTAGCTTTTGCAAGGACGTCAAACTGCAAAGAAACAAATTAATCTTGTCAAACTAAAGATTAATCCTAACATATACCTGGTTATAGCGGGTAGTGTAACGAGTTTCCCTGCCTCTACTGCCTTAAAGTAGCTCTCAGCACCCTCGGTTTCCATGGCAATCACAGGTACATCTTTCCAGCCTACATTCCACATACCCTCCACTACTCCCGTCAGCAGTCCACCACCTCCAACTGACGCCACGACCACATCGGGTTGGCCCGGCATCTGTTCCTTAGCTTCTACTATCATAGAACTGTGGCCTTCCCTGGGATTATAAACAAAGTTCTGTTGTTTTATATACATCAGGTAATGTATATTGTTTGAAACATGCTTTATTTCAAATATTTTGTTTAGATTGTACTTCAATTAATAGACCAAAAAAATAAACATACACTTTGAGGTGACAGTTTATTTAGAGTCAACTTTTGTTATTGGGCTTTCCCTCATTAAACAAAACATTAGCTAATTAAATATTTAAATTGGTTGGTTTTATTTTGTTGAATGTCCCATCAACAGCTAAGGTCATTAAAGGACGTTAAATCCTTAGATGGCCGATAGTAAAATTCATAGGGATGATATTAAAAGTCATAGAGATGTTAGTAAAATTCATAGGGATGATATTAAAAGTCATAGGGATGTTAGTAAAATTCATAGGAATGACAGTAAAACTCATAGGGATGTTAGTATAACTCATAGGGATGATAATAAAAGTCATAGAGATGTTAGTAAAATTCATAGGGATGATATTAAAAGTCATAGAGATGTTAGTAAAATTCATAGGAATGACAGTAAAACTCATAGGGATGTTAGTATAACTCATAGGGATGATATTAAAACTCATAGGGATGTTAGTAAAATTCATAGGGATGATATTAAAAGTCATAGAGATGTTAGTAAAATTCATAGGAATGACAGTAAAACTCATAGGGATGTTAGTATAACTCATAGGGATGATAATAAAAGTCATTTCAACCTCAAAAAATAGAGCAAATTCAACATGGGTTGAAAAAATATGATATATAAAATGAGGCTAGCGAGTAAGTATAGATGGACAATTTATGAAAGTTCGGTATATTGAAGTAAAAATATGAAGGCTAACAATGTAGACATGGGCTTATTTGTGGTTAGATATGGTCATTTTCTTAAGGTTATTACAGAATTGATCAGGTTTCTTACCAAATATCTGGGTGGTCAAATGGGTGTACATATACACAGCCTGCAAGTAACAAAATATATTAACAATAAGTACAGAGATGTTGTATGAAAAATATTCTGCCAGTTGGAAGTTATGTTCCTCCTCATCAACATACAGATCGAGCGCTCGCCAGTATGGGCGGGGCAAAATGACCGACTTTTGAAAGCTTCTTTCTGATTGGTCAGTCTGTTGCAGTATGACACCTCACCAGCACAGGTCACAGAGTACTTTACTACATACTAGTAGCAAGGAAATACAACGTTTCTAAACATATTATTGTAGTATACTTGTTAAGGTGTGTTAGAATGAGGAGAGTACGTTGTTTTTCGTGTCTATACTGGCAATTAGAACATGAAACTTGACCTATTGGTCTTGAGTTCAAACCAAATTCCATGTAAAAATAGTAAACAGAACCCCCAGTGATCAAGGCCCCTTTCGTGTATCCGGTTCAACCAGTTGAAACAGTTGAACCTGAAAGAAAAACGACAGGCACAGATCTGAACCAAGGCTGACCTCAGGAATATTCAGCACATGTAGATTGAGGGGTCCAGTTGTGCCTGACTGATACTAAAATGCTGACTATAGCTAGTTTGTGTTATTTCTTTACAAAACAAGGTCAAGCCACTTGTAGATTTTAAGATATGTTAAAGCATTTAGTGGACGCGTGTAAGAAGGACACATTATTCTTGATATATTGTTATTTACTCTCTGAATCTGTGCCCTCTTTAGCTCTTCCTATGGTTCGATGCAGTGTGTTCATTTATCGTGGAATATTTCTGCGCCACCTGAACTGTTTCTACCGAGATGCGTGAATGTAACTTAAACTTATACAAGTAGCAAGACTTCAAAGAGTTTAAGGATCCCTGTTCCACTGCCTAAAACTATAACTGTGCATTGGAAACTGTTTTTAACTGATAAAGCTTTAATAAATCATTTCTGAAAATAAAACCATACTTTGCGTGACTTTTATTAAAAAATAATAAAGATGAAATAAACAAAATTTATTACATTTTTGCCAGTGAAATATCGGATTCTATTAACTTGATAAAACTGATATCTTTCACAGTGTGAGAATATCACTTTTTGGTATTGACCAATCATAACGCTATCTTCTATTTGTTGCATTCAAAGGCAACAATTTTTTTGTTCAGATTCAAATGAAGCGACGGTAGAATAAGTGGTTGCTATGGTAAATGTTTGGTACACACACTTAAGTATTTACATAAATATACAGTTAATAACATTTGTATGAGCAATCATACCAAAAAATAGCAAAACACGTCATTGAGTACCCCATTCAAAATGGTGCACAGCCTTGTTGTCAAGCGTGACGTCATTAGAATATGGCGCTAATTATTACGCTTCTGATTCCCGCCCCTTTTTAAAAATTCAGTAGGACAGACTTGGATTTGAACCCTGGACCTTAGATTGATATATATTCTCAATCTAACCGACTGAGCTACAGAAGTGTCATGATGCTACAGTTATAGCCACAATGAAATGAAGGGGAGATAACTGTATATACATGTACGAAAACCACTGTAGAGTTGGACAGGGATCCTTAACCGAGGCCTTTACCTCAGATTAATGACCACCATATACCCAGTTATAAAATAGTCACTGCCATCATAAAATGTTTATCAAGAGAGATATCTGATACCGACCTGGGTCTGTTGTCATCTTCTGGGCGTATTCATTACTTTCGTCCCAAACACCTCCATGCACTTCCACATTTGCACCCTGGGTTAACAGGAATACTTGTTTTGATAAAATTAAATTACAGGATCAACCTGCAATACCCCAGTATACTGTATGTTACAGCAAGCATTGCTTTCTCATTAAAAATTAACTTCTTCACCTAAACTTATATCAAGATAAGTCCATACTAAATAAAGATTATCTACAGGATATATATGCTTCAACATTCAAATCTAGATTGTCCTGAACTTGTAGCATAATTACAGTTGAAACGGAAAATCAGTTCTAACTAGTGAAACTGTGAACAAGCTCATAAAGATAACCCCGCCCCCAACTTTAATATATCTATTTCTCTCATTTCCCTGTGTGTAAGATAGAGCTGTCCATGGTAAGAAAGGGGTGTAGGAAATTTCTATCTTACACCCCATTTCATGTGATGTGACGACGCAATGGCTGTGATTAATTTTTCTGCAAAATTTTCAAATTTGGCAAAACCCGAGGCTCTCCAAATTTGAACCCCTTGGGTGAAATTTCCCTATCCTACACCCCTTTGGAATGAAGGAGTCTTATATTATTCAAACTTTGTTTGCAGGGAATAACATACTCTAATTACAAATCCATTCCTTCAAGCATCATTTGGTAAAGTTACAAAAAATCAGAGAAGTTGTGCTTGCAAGGTTTCTGGAGCAAAGTTGAAAGTTTCAAGGGTCATAACTCCAGGCAAAATAGTCAAATCCCAAATTCCTCTTCTCATGATCATCTACATACATGTATAATGTTCTTCAAATGTGCCAAGTTGTCAAAAAATAAATAAATCAATAGTTCAGGTTCATGGCCAGACTGAAGGACAGGGCGATTCCTATATACCCTCCAAAATTTGTTTGACAACAGTCAAAATGGGAGACAACACTTACCATGTCCCGGACTTTATGAGCGACTAACTCTGGTGTTGTTGTTGGTAGGACAATCGTGGCTGGCACAGAAAGACAGTGTGCAGAATAGGCCACGGCTAGTCCTGCATTGCCACCAGAGGCACATACAAACTTGGTAGCCCCATTCTGTAAAGCCTGCACAAGGAAAATATCAAATCTTATTGACAAACATTTCTTTGATTCATGAGACATTTCACTTTTCTAATATTGTCTGTCATGTCAGATTTAAAGCATCGTCGGATACCCCAGTTGATTTCGCTTCGGTACTCAATTAGCATAATCATGATGAGTGAGTACCGAAGCAAAATCAACCGTGGGTATCCAACAATGGATTTAAAGCTACCCCTAAGTTTCTGTAAAATGAACCATGTATGACTGAACAATTATTGTCATTATCTTTAATAAGATACATCTGTTTGGAAATATGTAAACATCAAAGTATTACTCGATACACAAACAATCTGTATGTTTTAAACATGTCCCAACATTATAATAGCTTTACAAAGGGGGCAGTCGGCTTTGAAATGTTGCGGCATGTTTAATACATAAAATGTGTATAAAGTAAAACTTTGATAAGTATTGTCATTGTATATTTCTTACTGATGCACAGGTACTTTTAATATGCTTGCCCATGACTGTATAAACACATACACACACCTTTTTACAGAAGTGACTGATGCCTCTCTGTTTGAAGGAGCCTGGTATCTGGAGGTTCTCTAGTTTTAGGTAGACAGAGTAGTGCCCCTTTGACATTGGGATGCTGTGTATACAGGGGGTCCTAATATAGAGGTCTGGGCTGCCATCTCCAGAGTCGGCCATTTTGTCAAGAATGTTGTGTTGAGATCAGCTATCTACTGTTCCTTCAAAGTAAAAACTTGGAATATTACAACAGAATGAGGGGCATCAGTAGGATTTGTTTTTAAAGTGCTACCTACACAAGAAATCTAGCCCATCTAGCATCATCTGACTTAACATTATAGTACAAAACACTGATAGAAGTTGATATGTGGAGAAAACTACACTGTACAAAGTGGGTTTTTTTGTCTAGTGGAAAGTCTTACTTTATATGCTGTTTAGAAAAAGCAAATTATTATTCAAAAGATAATTTTCAAGAAGGCTTCATTATGTGTCTTAGAAAGAGGTTTGGGATGAGAGAACCCCAATGTCAGTGCAAAGAGCACTAATTTTCTGATAACATAAACAGAGAGACCTTTATCTGGGGTAACTATAAATATTATTAAACAAAAAAATTGAAACACTTCATTCCTCTAACACAGCATATATCCTTAGTTTTAATTTCCCGCACAAAGATCCTGAAAGAAAAACTGGTATGATTCCCTGATATACTAATGTACATTGTATGTGTTTTTGATGAGAAGTTAAGTTTTTGACAATTAGTTTAAGTTATTTAGAGAATGGCTAGAGTGGAAGTGCAGCAAAACCCACTATAGTGTACTATACATCTAATTAGTTAATACCACCATCACTTAAGCTGATGTTTTTACCTTGTTAAGATTTTCAAATTACAATTTCCTGAATTTTCGAAATAGTGTTGTCTCTTTGAAAGAGATGCTGAACTGATGGAGTCCATAGAATCAGAAAAAAGGGCCACCTGTTGATTTATGATGTTTGCACAACAACATTTTTTTGATTACATTGTACAACAAAAACCTAAGTAATGGTGTACTATAACAAAATAGATAACACAAACATTTTGTCATTTAATATAATTCTACATATGTACATCACCCACTGACGCCACCATTATTGTCTCCCTTTGAGGGATCTATAGTCTCACAGCTTATAATTATTGACAAGATGAACAAATAATATTTTTTATATGATCATAGTGATGTCAACCAAAGACAGTATGTATACAAAATGTACATGGCTACAAGATTTTGGAGCCCTAGAAAGCCTGATAATTTCTGATAATTTCTGTCATCAGCCAAAAAGCTACAGCATTAGCCTTTTAAAACTTTATTTTTAACTGGTTGGACACGGCGTAGCCACAGCCGACTTAACATACATATATATATGTACAAGTATACGGTGCATGCTTGGTTTAGTGCTACTTGTGTTGACACAATTTCTGCACAGCTCGGAAAAAATATCATTGCTTAATTAAAACCTACTTTCACTTCAACGAATTTTCATGTGTAGAGAAAAAGTCATTTTGATTTCAGATTATCTATAAATATATGGACTCTAGTGTAGCAACACTTTTGTCAACAGTAATCAAACTAAAATTATCCGTATCGGCGAGTCGAGGGAGTTCACAACCCTAGGTCTATCAACAGATCAAGCAGTGAAGCACTGTAACCTATCGTTGGTCCTGTCTAATCACTTATCGTTTATCTGCAATCGTTACACGTGCACAAAACGAAACAGGTATGGACCACTGTAAACTTTCCTATGAAGTAACTATTGTTGACGACTTGGTTGTCATATAATGTGTGTCTTTATAATTAGCCTTATTCTCGTTGCTTCCTACCTGTAACCTTCTTGTGGTGTCTGCAAGGTGTCAAAATGTGCCATGTGGGTCACAGTGTAACGACTAATCTGATTGGTCGATTTTGGAGGTGTGTACTTGTGTAGCAAAGTTTTGTAGAGTTATCTTTCTTCTTACGGGAGATTTGCCAATGTCAGTTATAACGCGAACAAAAGTTCCAAATAGGGCTTGTTTTTTTCGCAATAGTTTTTAAAAAGTTCGTAAAAGGACCACATGCTTAATCAATTGAGTCACAGTTACTAAAAATATCATTCCAATTATGATTAGATATCAGTTCATGATTTTTTTTTTAATTTGTACTATTATACTGCTAAATCTTACGTTTATATTATTGGAAGCAGTACAACCATCGTGGTCACTGAATGTTCTATCAATAAAAACTACAGAAGAGCAAATACAAGAAATATTTCTGATAAATGTATAGAATATTGTAAGCTAGATCAAGACAGTCCAGTACGAGTAGGATTTTGTTATTGCGTTAGTAAGTGATAAGGAGTTGATAATGTCCCAAAGACCGTTATTCATTGATCATCTTCCTGGACAGGAGCTGATCCTAAAGGGTGTGCTGCTCCAGCGACATGGTGCACATGTCTCGAGTCGCAAGAAATAAAAACCTCAAAATAGTGAGACGTTTAAAGTGGCTCACTGTGTGACAGCTATGAGCTGTGTTACATAAAAAATAAAATGTCGTACTGGTATCCGGCAATGTAGGTTCAGTGGTGTCTTCCTGAAAGGTCCTCTGGTTTTAATGAGGGCAGTCTTGTTGTTACTGGAAATGTGGTTCCAGGTTATGAAGGTCCTCTGGTTTTAATGAGGGCAGTCTTGTTGTTACTGGAAATGTGGTTCCAGGTTATGATGGTCCGGGAAAGAAAGGAGTTCTGATAGATGTCAGTCTTGACCGGGATTTGCTTCAAGCTGCCGCTGGTGGCTCCACGGGTCCGTGCATCTGCCTGCCTGATCTTATGGCTGAACTACTTCCACAATGTTGTTGATGATCTTGTATAAGAACGGCCCTGGCCCTTGCCCTCCTTAATGCAAGGGCTTACCATCTCAAAGGACGCAGTATGGCCGTCATGCTACCTTCATCTTTGGAGTAGTTTTGCGTGGTAAATCTTGCAGCCTGCTTTTGACTCTCTCCATTAACTCGATATGTTGGGCTTGATAGGGGTTCCATACTGCTCCAGCGTAACTAGGGTTGTATACGCTCTTGCCCTAAGGCTTCCTCTGGGCAGGCTCGGAGGTTCCTTCGGAGAAAGCCTACTTACCTAGCAGCCTTCGATGATGTAGCACTGCTGTGATGATGCCAGGAGAGGTCGCTACTGATGGTGACACCAATGTATTGGCTGTTTTTTACCTCTGCAAGTTGGGTTGAATCTGTTCAAGTGGTAATTGGTTTTCCGGATGCTCCTTCTGTGAGTTACATGCATGATGACGCACTTGTCCGGGTTAAAGGTCATCTGCCAATCGCATGCCCACTTGTGGAGGGCGTTGATATCGTTTTGTAGCTTGACGCTGTCTCTGGCAGAATGTGTTTTTCGGTAGATGATGCAGTCATTCACTACCTCCGGCAAGTCCTTTATATACAGCAGGAACAGCAAGGGGCCGATCACAGTGCCCTGGGGTACTCCTGATAGTACGTCTACTGCTGATGATCTGCTCCCTTTAACGATAACGCGTTGTTTCCTGCTGTCTAAAAAGTTCCTAATCCATGGGTGTATGTTGCCTCGGATCCCATAGTGGTGGAGTTTGTGGAGGAGACATTGGTGTGCGACCTTGTCGAAGGCCTTGGAGAAGTCCAGAAGAACGATGTCTATCTGCTTCCCACTGTCAATGTGCTCTGCATGGTCGTCAATGGTACACCGGTCTTCACCAACTGGGTCTCGCATGGCCGCCTTCTCCGGAATCCGTGCTGGGTGTCAGACAGAATCCGTTAATTATTTCAAGCTGTTAATAATTCAACATTAAAGTCCCCTGTTACTACTACATTAGGAGAGATATCAAGAGCATTGTTTATAAATAGCATGACCTTAATACTTCCCAAAACGGCAGGGTAGAGTTTTCTGGTCTGTAACTAATCTGTGCCACTGCTAATGAAAGTCGAGTAGGGTAGGCTGATTAACAAAATTACTGAATACTCTGAGTTTCGGACACACGAAAACGAAAGATCATATGGTGAAGTAGTTTTAACCAGAGACGTATCTGTTGTTGTTTTTTTAACTTAGAATTTTATTCAGATTTTTCAAACACATACGCATGACAAATAATGAGATACAAGTCTGTAAATTATGACGGGAAAATATGGATAATTGTACAGAACACTCATCTTACAGATTTCATACCACTCTACTCACTACATGTCATACATATAAACTTATTACACAGCCTTTGCCTGACTGACATTCATCATTAAACCATACACCCATTTTGCCAGTACCCATTCGTACCCAGCCGTATCTGTTTTAACTAAGAATTTAAACTAATACAAAAAGTAATAAATGTCTTCATAACAACTTCCGTAGACCTTTATACATGGTACATAAGTTTCCGAATCATATCGGGACTACAAGTGTACATTTTAATCAAGAAATATGTTGGGTAATACAATTGGTTCAATTAAACCTCAATACGGCCTCAATATTCAACTATAGAGTAGATGATGTAGATCTCTGAAAGACATCTCGACTACCATTTATTTAAGGACTGGCCTTCATTTTGACGGCATATACGGTAATATGATGCCAATTGCGTTCATACTACCGTATACGCCGTCAAAATGAAGGTAATCCATATATATACATATTCAAATAAATGCTGTACAAAGAAAAAACCCAGTCGAAGCATGCTGCTACGATGGTAACTACGGTTGCCGTGGTTGCTAGGTTAAGAATTATTAGAAAATACGTAGTGAACAACATTATTTTTCTCCTCTTCATCGCTTTTAAATTTTTAAGAGTTTACTAAGCTGAAGAAGCGAGGGGTGTAAATATATATAGTTGTCAGAATTGATGTTAAGGTCAGGTGTGAATAGCATGGTGTAGCGTGAGGTAGACATCACACGACCTGCCCTTGTCCTCAAGTACCAACACGATTTACAGTAGGAACAGATATTGAACTAAAGGTTAAGATGTTAAAAAATGCAAAGAACATTATGGCAACAATTGGTTGGTAATGACACGGCATTAACGACATTGCTAACATCAGATATTGCGATCACCAATACTAAAATGAGGTAAGCCTCGTTTAGGCCATTTTGATACGACCTTGTTCGCTACAAATGCATGCTTTTTCTTGATTAATTCAAAGACAATAAGGGCATTGTACAAACTTTAATGACTGTTACTTGATACGCACATTAAACGAACGTGAATGTAAGGTTGGAAGCTTAAGAGCGCAACGCAACCGGACTGCACCGCAACATCAATTTACAGCGTCTCTGCATATCGAACATTATGCAGATAGACATTTCTGAAAATAAAACTGTCTCCTCTTTGAGCTCACTAACCCGAAAGGTTTTGAGCCATTGAGGATGCTTTTTAAAGACACATAGTCGGAACAAATTGGAGTTGTTACAATACCCGACATGGTGTCTTCCTCTTTTAATGTCCCTAAATCGACAAACTGGCGTCAATTTATGCAAATTAGGTGGACAAAAACTCAAATTTTCGCTAGGTTACTGGGATTATCGCACTCAGCTCATACCCGAATTTTGTTTGAAAGTCTCTGGTTCTGAAATTCAATCCAATTCGGTCCTGGTGCCTTTTTTCAGAAATCTCATTTGTCTATTTCTGGTGAAGAATACACTCTGTGAATCAACACAAGAAAATTGATCGATATATTCATTTTCCCAGCAAATCAATGTTTACATTATTAGGAAATTGGCTGGATCAATCTACTCAACAGCTCTTAACACTTAAATTGTGATAAACTCAATTTATATTAGTAAGTCATAAAATAACTATTAACCCAATAAAATTACTGCTTTTAATAGGTTTTTACAGGTTATGTATAACAGGCAATCTGTTTAAGGTATCTCTCCAACAGCTCGACATACAGAGTTACACTAAATTTGGCGCAAAAAAATCTATAATTAAACCGAGGGCTGCCCGAAATTGAAAATAAAGCTATAAAATTATTTCAGGTTAGTGATTGGATACTTTACCCCGCCTCTGTGCCTGCTAGCTTACAGAGGTTCAAACGCTGTTAGGCGCTCGACTTATCATGGCCGACCGTGACTCGTTAGACAGTCTATTTCGTTATAGTCATCAATGACGCAAAGAATCGTAATACCATGGAAAGGAGGTAGAAAATGTGAATCGATCAGGGGGTATGTGTTTCCTGTACAAAATGTGGTTCTGTGTAGAATTTAAAAAAATAATAATATAAAAGTAGTGAATAAAGGCTACACATCCAAACGGTTATGAGACAATTTAGTCGTCAACCCATTTCTGGAGGATATCATTCACACAGAGTTATCGTACTGTTTATTTAGGTTTATATAACGTCTCGTCTGTACAAACTACGGATGGTCGTTATTGTGGAAAACTGTCGAGCATTGCACTTGTACATGTACAGTGTGGTCCCCGCCATTGACATCCTATAACCAACTCACAACCACTCCCCACATCTCTCCTATTGCAGTACTACGAAGTACGCTGTTGTAAATCTATCTGTTGAAATATGCAAAACTTCAAAATGGATCAAGTTTCAGATATATTCTCTCTGCCTGTCAGCATATATATTGCAACAGACATAACTGACATTTCAGGTACTCGATTACTGACAGCCTCCGATACACTTCGATTTCCATTTCGGCGTACCTTACGATAGGTGAGATTCGATGACAATTAATTACTATAATGATGTCATTTCTATCTATGAGATTTGTCTTTGCTGTATTTCGAGAGGAAAACCATCAACAACACTGAAAAAATAGAAAAATCGGAAAAACTTGGAAATGTTATCAACAACACTGGAAGCAAATCTGTTAGATATCAGTGCTTGGAATAGAGCCTATGTGCTAAAATTACACCAAAACAAGAAAGAG